GATTCAACAATCAACACCTGTCTCTTATACACATCTAGATGTGTATAAGAGACAGCTATTTAGCAGTAAGCACCCCCCCCACCCAAATATGAGTTAGTATTTTTGACAATGAAAATTGATTCAACAATCAACACAGAGAAAAAAAAAGACAATAACCACCAAACTCTTCAAGCAAAAAATTAAAGTACAATTGTACAAGAAACAAATGCAACAAATGAAAATGCAAATGATAAAAACAATTAAATATATAAAATCACACCTGACAAAAATAGGCACGAAATGTCGCGCACGCGGACCACGACGTGCATCACTCCAAACTGAAACTGTACATGGAAAATGTAATGTACATAAAAAATCCTGAACGACGCAAAGTACCGGTCACTAAAATCACACATGAAAAATGGAACATCATACAATGTATCCTACAGGTTAATGCTAAGGCAGTGGTAACACATATAAAAAAAAACAAAAGAAACATTAGTGTACAAGTCGTGTCGTAGTTATTCTACGAACACCTGACTGGTCCAACGCTACTCTACGAACACCCTACTGGTACCAAAATCATACACACCGAAAACAAAGGAAACATCATCTAATACATCTGTAGCATGCTGCACGCACACAACCATAGAGAGTCTGACAACACTCAGACAAGACGAGTTGACCAAAACAACTAGGACCGCACAACATGAAGAAGTACAGTGCGAGCAGGGGAAAAGCGGAGTGTTGGCCTCATCGGTCAACGACCCTTCTTCCGCTTCCCGCTGTGTCTCCTCGTATCCCCTCGAGTGTCGGATGTCGACATCCTCCTCCCTCGTGCGGATGAAGAAGTCTGTGCAGCGCGCCGTCTAGATGCACGCTTGGTGGGGTAGGTGGGGGCTCGTCTTCGTCGTCCTCGTCGTCGCCATCAAAACCGCTCTCGCATTCCTCCTCTCCCTCCTCCTCGCCCTCATAGTCCTCCTCATCATGTCAGGCGAAGGTGGAAGGATCAAGAGGGTTAGCTGGCCAACGGACGTCACGTGGTAATGGTACTCTCTGGCCACTAGGGGAAGAGGGATGTCCCTTGCTCTTCCCCTTGCTGCTGGTTGAGGCCTTCTGAACCTGAGATTTGCCTTTGGTCAGGCTCATCAAGGCATCACCCAGGGCAAGAACAGGATCTGTAGCTGATGATGATGCAGTCCCAGATGGAGGGCTACCACCCTGGGAGGCTGCGTCACTATCAGAACCAGACGCTGCAGTAGCAAACAGGGCACCCTTCCTCTTTCTTCTACCCTTGGAGGAGGGTCCCTTCCTTCCTTCAGAAGGTGCTTCCTCGACATGGAGTTTGGACTCCAAGTCTAAGGCTGCACTGCCAAAGGACCTCCAGTCCTTGTGGCCCTGAGAGAACAAAGCCAGCTGGTAGTTTTCAGGCGCTGCCCTGAGGAAATGAATGAGCAGATCCTGCTCACTCATCTCCAGACCAGGGGTAGAAGTCAAACTCTCAAAAGTAGAATAGAGTTTGGACAAGGAGCCATCGAATTTCTTCTGGCCCAGGCGCAACAGTTTATCTGCAGCCTTCYTGGCCTGCTCCTTGTCAGCAAACCTATCCTGCAACGCCTGCAGAAACCCARCCACCCCCAACCTCTGAGCCCAGTTAGACATCTCCATCCCTTGTTTGTTGGAGGTAGATGTACACCATTTCAGTGCACTCTTCTCCATCAGAGCAAGGATGGCTGACACCTTGACATCTTCATCACATTTGAACCCACTCAGGTAGGTTCTAGTCGCAGTCACCCAATCTGCAACATCCACCTTAGGGTCCTCTCCAGAGAACATAGGCGGCTGTTTCAGCTTGGGCCGCTGCGGCTCAAATGGTGATGACAGATGTGAAGGGGCTGTTGACTTGGGTGTCCCAAGTGGGGATGCAAATCTGGATTGTGGAGAGGGCTGAGGCTGCTGAACCGCTGCTTTTGCAGCACCAGGAGATGGAGGGGTGGTCAGGGCAGGTGGAATCTGGTAGTGTGCAAACAGTCTGTCCAGTTTGGAAGCAATGTCATCCAATTTCTTGGAATGATCTGACATTTGCTCTTCCAGACTGGAGATCCTGACATCCCAGTTAGTAAAATAGGACCGGTTGATATCATCCTGCAATAGGACGAATTCAGCCATGTCCTTATTGTACTGACATGCTGTGCCACTTGTCCTGATCTTCCCAACATTTGTGGTCAGGAGTCTCCTCCTGGCCTCCTTCTGATCAACCTCCTCTCTTCTCCTCTTCTCTGCCTTTAGAGCCTCAACTGCCTGGGCTTGCTTACAAAGTTTTTCTTCCTCAGCCCGCAGTTCAGCCTCCAAAGGCTCAAGAGGAACCTCAGGCTTCTCTTCAGAAGTCTCGCCCTTCTCTGAATCAGCCATTTTCAGTTTCCACAAAACAGATTATAAATAAACACACCAAAATTAGAAGACACATAGGGAAGTAACAGAACTGAGCTTTCTCTTCAGTACTAACTCAGTTGCTGTCACCTGACTGTAGAGAGAAGTTGGTTAGTCTGAGCAAGTGAGTGCTCAGTCTCAGCAGACCGCTTGAGGGTCAGGGTCAGTTTAGATGACAATCAGGCAAAAATCATTTTCACGATTTTCCACTCACTGACCGGATAGCTCAATTGCATGCAATAACTGCAAATCCTGATTCAACGATTTATCAGGGTGCAGTCTTGGACTGATTTGTGCAGGTTAGTAATCAGACAGAGTGATATAGACCTGTCTCTTATACACATCTAGATGTGTATAAGAGACAGAAGCAGGGTGACAACTCTGTGTTGATGCGAGGAGACGGGAGAGAGAGAGAGAGAGAGAGAGAGAGAGAGAGAGAGAGAGAGAGAGAGAGAGAGAGAGAGAGAGAGAGAGAGAGAGAGAGAGAGATCGGATGTGTGCGGGATGGTGTCTTTCTTCCAACCTTCTGTAAACCGGATGGCAGGCAGTGACCAGTGCATCAACTGGTCGATGACATCGCTCATGACCCTAGGCTTCTCGCTCACTTCTTTCATCGCTGATTGCAACTTGCAAACTCTCTGCTTGCATGCAGAAGTCACAACCAAACGAACATACTTCGCGGAACCGGAAGACTACAAACCGAACCTGCCAAAGGACCCACCAAATTGCTCCAAAATACCCGCTCCTCGACACTGGGAGTGAGGGGCTCAACCCCTGTACCTGTCATCACTCCCTCGCATGATGTCATCCCCCTCTGACTGAGAGGTGAAGAGGCGACGGCTCAACCACGGTCACGTATGTAAGCGGCAGAGGCAGGATGCATGTCGTGCAATACACCCGCTTGCCCATGAGCTGCGGCGGCACATGACTGTGAGACCCGCGAGTCGATGATTGTACCACCTCCGTCACGCAACGATGACCTGCTACTTGCAAACACCGCCGCTGATGATTGAGAACACTCCTGGAGTGGGATGAAGTCCAACCCCTCATGTCCAACAATAAGCGGAGGATGAAGAAACGGTTGTGGCGCACTCGTCCACGCAGGCACCGCCGGGACATCAGACACAAACGGCAAGCGGCGAGGCTGCAACGGCGGCGACAGCAATGGATAACACAACACATTGAAATCTGTCGAAGGATGCACCAGAGTGTACGACGTGCATGCAGGAGACGACAACAAGGGTGGCAACGGAGACCGCACAATCGCACCGACGGGAGTGACGACGAGCGCAGGCGAAAGAGATCGAACACAAGGCCTCTTAGCTGATCGCCTGCCATCCGGACCGGCGTAAGGGGACACTCCCAGCACCCCGCGCCCCACATCATTCGCCGACATCGGCATGCTAGTGTCGCGTGCGGACAAAGCAGAGGCCTGTTCTGCTGACCTCCCATCATCACGAGTGCAACTGTCAGACGCATCATCCATAAAAGCAGGTCGTCCCTCTCGAACGCGGTACATTCGGGGGGGTGGTAGGAGGCACGATGCAGCCAGCGAAATCTCCAACGGACGAACTCTCAAAGTGAAAAACAAGAACGTTCAAGCACGACGTCATTGCTCGATTGATTCGTCGATTGATTGACGCTATTGATTGAGTGCCCGATCGTTTGAACGGTTGAACGACTGATTGATTGATTGATTGATTGATTGATTGATTGAATGATTGGTGGATTGTAGGATTGATTGCTTGATTGATTGACTGTTCGAAACGTCGATCGACTTATGGGTTGGTTGATCGACTAATTGCCTGATTCATTGATCGATTGATTGACTAATTGTGTGATTGATTCCTTAAATAAAAAACTCCGGATTGTGTGTTTGTGTGTTTGAGTGTGTGTGTGTGTGTGTGTGTGTGTGTCTGTATCCTCGCGTGTGTAACTCCTGGACTCAACATATATATATATATATATCGTCACAAATAGAACTGCCCGGTAAACCGTAGGCAGAGAGAGAGAAGAGGACAACAAACGAGGATATATATATATATATATTACATATATATATATATATATATATATAGTGTGTTGTTGGCTTTCGGGACGGGCCGAACGCCCGAACGTACGGGACCCCTTCGAAAGCCGTTCGGCCGTTCGGGCCGAACGCGAGCCCAAAAAAAAAAAAAAAAAAAAAAAAAAANTGACAAACAAGTACCTACAGAGTATCTAGATGCAACGATTTACAGGGGTACCTATTTTTAGACCTACCCAACAGACTTCACCACTGGATGACCCTTAATGCCATACAGAGGGTATGGCGAATTACAGATTTCACTGTAACTGACTCAAAACACCAAATCTGAGTGTGCGATTTCAGACACTAATAGAATACTGAATTGCGATTTACTAGGGGCTGACAAAACTGAATTCTCACGGGCAGACTCAAAGATATGACTGAGCCTAGCTCACCCAAGTTTCAGCTATGGCAGCGAAGAATTCAAATTCACAGAATCACTGACAGACAGACCCTGAAACTCACAATTTACAATCGGAACTGAATCGCATCACTGTCCAGCAGTAGCAGAGAAAGATTGAGTCAGAGAAGGGGTCAAACAGGGTTAGTAGAAGTCAGAGATGAAAGGTAGAAGAAGATGGTTATGGCTGTCTGACAGTCTGTATTTCGATTTTTCACTGTACACACTCAGACAGACCACCTTTCACTGTTCTAAAAATAGATCCTGAATCGCCACACAGTCCGGAGTATGGAACACACTTACTTCAGGGTTCTCTCTGAAGAAGAAGACCGGAATACTGGCTATGGTTGAAAAGTCAACTCCTTCTCGCCAGTTTCCACCCACTGACAGTAAACAGTGTTCCCACGTACTGAATCTCTCCAAACTTGGGGATACTGTAGATCTTGGTAAGAAGCTTCACTTCCACTTGACAGATTCAGTGAATCTAGTCTCCCAGAGGCTGATAACTGCTGACTCAGTTCAGCGCTGATTGGAAATTGGGGTTTCTAACCCAATTCCAAAATCGCCACTCACTGGGGATGTACCACAAACAATCGCCACTCCTCAGATGAAGCGCCAGGCTAATTTTAGCCTCTCAGAGCCTGCCAGGCCTCTAATGATCAATCGCCAATCAACCCTCTGTCTCTTACTCACCCCCACACACTCACCACCATCACCCTCACTGACAACAACCCTGAAGAAGACAAATCGCCATGAGATTCCACTTCAGTATCTCGCCAGATGATGATGGGTGCTCCAACTCATCAATCGATTCACTCTGTGGATCCGATCGCTCTGATACCAAACTGTTATGAACCTGGTTGTTGTTGTYTGTTGACCAACACTCGCTCACATAGACTTCCAGGTATGCCCATACATACACAGAAGGAAGGGGAGAGGATGGGAGAATCACACCGCACAGAAAGAGATGAACGCAGTGGAAGGCTTGACCATGCGATATGACAGATCACACTGAAAGTGCAATTCGCTCCATGCAATCCTCACAACCAGTCACAAAGGAAAAGCCGAGCAGATCACATCCAAACAACAATSAATCATTGATAGTCTGAACACAGTATTTACACTGTTTATACAACCCAGAGTTTCGAATTGCCAGAACAACTTCAGAACTATGGTGCGCTACTAAAAAATGAGTAGCGCTTCACTTCCCAACCCTGAACAACACCCAACACCCCTCTGAGCCCCTGAAACATCAAGCGCCACCTAGATACTGCCTCCAGAGGGAAGCGCTAAGCTGAAACAGGCCTCTGAGGCAAGGCGCTACTCAGAGGATGAAGATGAAGACCAGCGCCACAGTGTCTGATGAAGACGAAGTGCCAGATGACCTCCTAGCGGAAGTCTGTAGCAACGCCACCTCTCCTGACAAGATGATCTCTGAGGAAGAAGAAGGAGAGCTGCAGCTATGGCTGCAGCGCACACAAATTCTGAGACCCCACTTCGGAGGAGGGTCCAGCAGGGCACCAACTCTCTCGCCGTACAGCAGACTCCAGATAGCTCGGACCTTTGAACAGCCCCAACGTCCTGTCAGAGTACAGCACCCGCGCCAGCAAGGCCGGTGCTCCGAAGGTCCAGCTATGGCTGTCCCCACCAATGCTGAGCCGTCACCACGTCCAGTTCACGCGTTGTGCAGCAGCGACGTACACGGTACCAACTGCCAAAAGCCCTGAACCGATGTGCCCATCCTATTTCTAGCCTACCCGACCTAGAATCGACCGGACTGGGTACTACCGGTACCGTTTCAGTGTCGGCCTCTCGGCCTAGACCCTACCCGTCTATACGCTATAGGACGGTCTATCAGTATAGGCCCTGAGGGCCTGTCTGTCCTCGGGGTAGCCCGGGTCTGCAGTAGCAGTTAAGGGTCAGTAGGTACTTAGGGTCGACACGGGACTGTAAATTCACTAATTTACAGATCTGTCCCTCACGACTAGTGCCTACGGTGAGTCACTCGGTTAGCCCTCAGCCAAACAGAATAGCAAATCTATTCTAGCTATAGTACAGCCTCGACATGAGAGAGGCTACAGATGACCAAAACGCAGCAAGTCATTGCACATCGCTGGACGAAAAAAGGGATAGGAGGTCGCGTTCGCGAGTTCTTCCAATCAACAAAAATCAGGGAAAGGAGAATGATAGCGGTACATAATATTTAACCTGCTGTCAAAGCATACCAAGGGCTCAGCAAGCTCGCCCCAAAGCACCAGTTCGTCGCGAAGGGCGTATTTCCTATGCAGTGATGTGCCAGCTGCAGCTGAAAAGGAAAATAGTCTGAGGGCGCGACCATTCCGTTGATGATCAATTTCCTCGACTCTACGGTCGATGGTGGTGCTTCCAGCATCGTCATCATTATCACCAGCATCGGCACAATCATCACCGAGACGGATAGGAGCGGAAGTGATGGCGAAACACCTCCCGCAGCAGGCGCCGCTGGTCGCCATCCTCGGACGAAAACAGATGATGCGAGTGGCAGGAATACCGACGACATGATCCGACGGCCCATGCTTGGGTGTAGTCGTGCGTCGATCCAGACACCCACAAGGTAGGCGTTGTGCTGCACACGGGGCGCGCAAGAGAGAGAGAGAGAGAGAGAGAGAGAGAGAGAGAGAGAGAGAGAGAGAGAGAG